GGGGGGGGGGGGGGGGGGGTAGGTTTTAATCCTTGCACACATTGAGATTGGTCAAATGTCTTCCTGGCTTGCAGATCAGTGGGTTTCAATGTTATGGGGGTTTTTTGCTTTTTAAATTTGCAGACCCCTGTACAGATAAACTTGTCACAGGAGAGGAGACAGATGCCTCCTCCCTAATTACACCTACCACAAGGCTTGTTTGGCTTAGCGGTCTCTCAGAGCCCTTGCAAGCACTGCAGAGCCCTGCCTGAGCAGCACAGCTCAAGACCACTGCAGAGATGCCTCCAGCCTCCCGGCTGATGACACACGTGACGAGAAAGCGTGAGAAGGATGATCTCAACCTTAAAAGTGTGTGTACGCTGCCCAGTGCCCGACCTACCAGTTTTAGGTGACAAATTAGCAGAAAGTTTCTTTCTCAGACCGTTTTGTGCATATCCTTTCACTGAACTTCCCAGTTTGTGTGGCCACACAGCCAAGGAGAAAAACTTTTAGGTCATAAATTTTAAAGCTACCACAACAGCAAAAATCACCAGAGACAGTTGCCCAGGTTACACCTCTAATAACTGCTAACCTGAATAGAAACCATAGCTCAGTGTCATCTACATCTCCTTGATACTCTGTCCCTTTTAACTTAACTGTATGGTAAGATTTTGCTACTGCCATTCAGAAGCTTATGAGCAACTGAAGCTGCCCAGAATCAGCCATACTCCTCACAAGGCTATTTATTAGACAACCGCTCTTCAAATTAGCGCTCTATGAACACATTCACCCTGTTCTGAATAAACAGCTACTGGAAGGCATAGACCCTGCAGTTACTCACAGGAAAAAGATGTGAGCAGCAACAGCTGAGACAGTGCACAGAGCAGCCCTGCAGCAGAGAGGCTTCAGTAGGCTCCCCTCCAGCTGAAGCCAGCCAGTTCGCAAAGGCAAGGCAGGTAGGCCACCCAACTCCGGACTAAACAAGGAGCTCCTGGGTACTTTTACTAGCTTTGGTTACTAGCCAGGAGAGACTAAAGTCATGTCAAGCAGAAACTGGAGATGTCAAAGACCTTCCTCGCAGGTGTTAACAGGAAAAGTGAACTCAACGGGGCTCGACCAAGCACCTTGCTGATGACACATTCCTAACAACATTTACCACTAGACTAGTCCCCAGCCAGCATATATTCAGATTTTTAAGGTCTAACAAGCACTCAGGCAGAAAACACAATGTGCAGAAGCAAGGCACATTTCCCTAGAAGAGCAGTGCCCTGCCTGCCGTGTGGCAGTTGTGAGCATCTCCCCACGCCACATCCAGTTCCCTCCCCATGCATGCTACTAATGCCATTACAATTATTAAAAATTCCCAAATAGCCTGGCCTGCTCCAACTGCCTCAAAAACCAGAAGCGGGAGAAGTATTAACCAAGCCAAGCACTACTTCCAATTTCACCACCAATTATAGTTACGTATCGTGTTTTATGTAAGCTGACTACATATGATGTTTCTTAACAATAACCATTGTGCGATGATTTAGGAAGCATTTCAGTTTAAGGGGCTGACTAAAGGAAAGGCTGAGGAAAGTGAAAGAGTGAAGCCTAAGATGGGCTGCAAGCATTGGGAAGAAAGAGAGGCTCTATGGGCAGAGCAAAGAAAGCGTCCAACAGCACTGAGAGCCTCCCACCCCAGGCGAGCCAGAACAAGGTCTCATTTACCTCCTCACCAAAGCAAAACTAAAATGCAGTTACCACAATATTAGCGGTTCTAAGAAAAAAAATCTTCATTGCATTCACCCCTCCCGGACTTCTTTGCACCAAGTGCTTAACGTGATAATTTCCTATAAACCGGGACCAGGCATCAAAGCTAAATCAGCTCCCTGAAGCACAGTGACAGAATGACTGTTGCTCTCAGGCCCAAGTAAAAGAGCAGCTGGGAACACAACTTACAAAAATCGAGGCAGCTATGTACTTTTTGTTGCCTTTTTGAAATGGCTTCAAAGTCACAATGAATTTTATCTTCTACTTGGATGAAATAAACTTATTTTTCAGAAGCAAGATAGCATTTTTCAGCTAGCAGCAAATCTGGAAAGGCAGCTTACACCCAAGGATATGCCTGTGCAAGATTCCAAGGGGTTTCAAATGAACTCCTCTGAGCACGGTTTTCAGTCAGTCACTACAATGCTCCATGCCTCACCTAAGCAGAAGGCTGGTCTCAAGTAACACCAGTTTCCCAGCTCCCAGGTATGAGAAGGGTGATCCCTTCCTCCCGCAGGAAGAGATCCCTGCCACCTGCGCACAGTGGAAGCCCGCACAGAGCGGCAAGGAAGCACTCTCAGCAGGAGCTCTCAAAGCAGGTCCCTTCAGTCCACCAGAAGCAAACTTTAATTTTTTACCTTTTTCACCAGGCAATAGCATCACCACACCAAGGTGGCACCAAGGGATGTATCAGGAACCCAACAACTGCAGCAAAGAGGGATGAAGACTATGAGTGCCCCAGCCGCACCAGGAGAGACATCTCTCCCTGAAACCCGGAGCCCTCACTCCCATTACAAACACCGAACACCATCCCTCGTCACGACCGCGTAAGGGGTCTCACGGCTCTCTCCTGCAACGGTGCAGCAGCACCGTGTGCCGGGGACCACAGGCTTGCCTGCAAGGAGATGGATGCGCAGGGAGGGTGGAGAACGACCGCAGCTGGTCCCTGCCAGATGAGCGGGGCTTCAGGAGCGCTTCTCCAACTGATTACAGGGAATCAGCGGGGCGGTGCAGCACTACCCCCTCGCACCCCCGGCACTGCGCCCGGCCGGCGGCGGGGGTCCCTCGCAGGGAGGCGGATGCGGAGAGGATGGGACAGGCCGGAGCACAGGTGCGCAAACACTCCCAGCCCGAAAAGAAAGTGGCGAAACCGCCCAGGCCGGGACCCGGCAGCCCACTGGAGAGCACGCTCCCGAGCCCCCCGCCAGCCAGAACCTCCCCCCCTCCTCAGGGCTGAAGGAGCGAGGGCCGCAGACCCTCCGGCGGCGCGGGCAGGGCAGGGCACGGCAGGGCCGGGGCCCCTCGCGAAAGCCTCCGCCCGGGTCCTCAGCGCACGGCAGCGGCCGCAGGCGGCGGAA